TCAGGTGGTTCTCTGATGACACTACGGCTTTTTCTACTAATTAAACTGGCCGCAATGAAATAGCCAAAAGTGATGAAAGTGGCGTTTAACACCAAATATCAATAAATCGATCATTGTTTATTTCAGACGTTTTCTACACAGATCATTGTTCTGTTAAACAAGAATCTATAATCTTGAATTTTAATTTGACTAAAGCAGTTTTTCAGCATCACATAACTGTCTATTTGAATTATGACTGTACTATTGGCCGCTGGACATGAACAGCAGCTTCATCAAATAAAAATGTGTTTGAAAACCTTGAAGAATGGATAGATTGAAATATTTATAAACTGTATTATAGCAAGTAAGTCGGTGAATTATTGTTAGAAAACACGTTAAACAATTCAGGGATTATACGGATAGGGCAATATATGTAGGGCCTACGATTAAAGGTCGGTGTGCCCATCACAATTTATGTGTGGCGACCTTCTGTTTATGTCTGTACCTAAAGTTTAACCTTTTATAAGTTAAGTAAGTTCGTCTTCTAACTTTACGTCCACATCTTTCAATATACAATATTTATTTTTAATAGAAAAAGGGTGTGTTTTATGTCCAAGGATTGCAAAATTTCTGGTAATGAATCGCTCAGTCATTACTTCAATGCATATTTCGGTAGCTAGGTAGACCAGGGGAAATCATAGAGAGGGGAGCCTAACTCACTTCAGATGATACTCAGATAATGGCGGATTTATTTCGGAAATATCTAGATTTTACATAATAAATAAACATAAAGTCCGAACATACCGATAAATTATCCTGCTAATTCGATTGGCTTAAAGTTTTTTGGTGTTTTTATTTCGATAAGTGTATGAACCCTTGACCGGTTATTTGGGGTCTTCTTTTACACTTTCAAAATAGGATAACAAATCATTGTCACGTGCTCGTGTATGTTAAAGCACACGAATGCACTCCATTAAAGTGTTTTCTGCGTGTATTATAAAAATATAAAAACGATGGGGTGGGGGTCTAATTGAAAATATTTCAGACATCGAAATTACTTTCTCTAAGCCAAGAATAAAAAGGCAGATTGTTTGTCTGTTCTTAATATTTCTTGAAGTAATGTCTTTTCGTCCCCTGACGATATCTAAAAACAAATTTAAGGGGGGGATTAAATGTTTGATTCTAAATGTCTTTACAATCGTAAAATTTTCTTCAACGCGGATGAATTAATATTCAGCAAGAAATTTACATAAAATGTTTGTTTTTTTTTATTTAAACTAATTTTCACATGAGGAAAAAGAAGTGTCGGTGCTTTTACATAATTTTGATTTCGGGTACCAGGTAACACTGCATCCTCGTGTAAGCATTAATTTAATGAAAATCTTACATTTTTTGAAGATTTTTAAATTACAAAAATGTCAATGTCCTGTTTTTAATTATAGATATCAATAATACTGCATTGGAAAGCCCTTGAAAATGATCCTCCGCCTCCATTAAAAACAATGACTAAAGAATGTGATTTGGTGCAAGTCGTCCAAATATGTTGGATATTAAAAAAGGGACTCCGTGTAGTGGTATTATAATATAATCATTGAAAGCTCTGAGAGTCTCATTAAATTATAGCCTCAGATAATAGCTAGCACTAGCTGCAATATTATCAAGTCAAAACTTCTTTTTTTTTACCACATTATTCACATCTTTCCGTATTTATTCTCTGTTCTTTTTAATTCACTATATTGACAATTTAACAACTAGACGATTCCAGAATGTATATAAATAATGCGAGTATATAATACAGTGGTTGGATTTAATCGAAATTTCGTATTTCATATTATTATCCTGCCCTTAAAACCTGTCCAATGTTTTTTAGAGAAGAACCTCTCATACATAGTGTTCATGCAAGTTGGCTACTTTATCTTCAGCATTGTTCACTGAATCAGCATAGGCGGATCTAGGCCCCCTTTAGAGGGACAAATTTGGTTGATTATATAGGGAATCACTGATCCATGACTGTAACGGGACCCCTAATAAAAACTTCTGGGTCCGCCACTGGAATGGCTAATTGTAATGCACAAACTTTAAGGAAAATATAAATATTTGGCAAGGGTGCCACTTTTTCTTTAGGAAGTATCCAATATTCCGTCAATGAAACAAATCTGGAAAAGGGTTGAATCATTATCGATTCATTATCAGAGACATATATACATGTATATATATATGTGTCTCTTGTTGAATAATTTGTATATTTATAAAATCTGGATTGCAGATCTTTGATGAAAAAAAATAACCTTTTTAATTTATGACGATTTGAAGCTTGACACAAGAAATAGGTAGGCACCGTTTATAAAATATTTTTCTTTAATACCTGTATAGATTTAGATTGTATGCCTTTTGGGAGTTTTAAAATATATATACCCTTATTTACTAACATCAAAAACAGAGCTCTATTCATTTGTTGTTTACTACCCATGGAAGTAAGTATCTATATAGACGCTGGTGTTACTCCAAAAAATGTTATCGTTCGCTGCCGACGAAACACCTTTCAATATCGTGAATATTTTTTAAACAATACGGATACAGGAATTAGCTAGGAGTTTCCAATTTACTTGGATACCAAAAATTCACTCCCACGTCCATGCATTCAAGAAGAGGATATCTTAAAAACTCATAGGCGTGTTTAACGTTTTGTTTTTGTATTTCAACCAAAGATGCAGACACTCGAATTTTCTTTGTTAACAAACTGTGCCCTTTTGACAAACACCATCCCTTAACTTTATGAGGCAGATTTCACACAGAAGCTTCTTTGAGCATGTTACAAGAAATATAAGAAGCTGACATTATCCGTTTTAACATGCGTACTTATCTTTCTTATTCTTATTAACTTATTAATCTTGTATTAACTGAAGCACATCTTATTTCCATGGAGATTTAGCCCAGCACATGGTCAGGGATTATTGACTTTAAGAGCTTTTGCATGCAGGGACATGAATGAGTTATTTTTCAGTAGATTCATTTGGTCTCTGGTGGAGAGTTGTCTTTTTCATGATTGGCGATCATACCACATATTTTTATTTATTATAAGGGTGACATTTCTGTGTGTCAACTGTTTGTTCTTAATTAAATGTTAAGCTGTTGCACCGTCACAGGTTACAGGAGAATTTAGCACTTACAGTATGTGTAAGCCCACCACATTCTCATACTGTATGACCTTGTTCTAAGTAAGTAGTGGGAAACTCTGTGGTTGTTGTTGGTTGCTTTTTGTCATATTAACTTTTGTTTGATACTTGCATTTATAAATGTGTGAGGATCCTGATTTTACACCAACAAACTACACTACTTATAAAAACACAAAATGTACAATGCGACAGGGATAAACCAGTTTTATCTGCATACAAACGGTATCCTTTGCCTTTCCTAGGACCATGTATCTTAAAGGTAAAACAAACAAGTAAAACTGTGAGCTACTGCTCACTGATGATACCCCCGCCGAAATATTTCGGTAAACAGGAAGTTGTTGAGTGATGAATCTGAAAACGCATCACACGGTGTAACTTACTTATATAAACCCTGAAACTAAATTTCAGAAATCCTTGTCAAGTAGTTCCTGAGAAAAATGTGACGAAAATATTCATGGGACGGACGGACTGACAGAAGGACAGACAGAGGTAAAACAGTATACCCACACTTTTTTAAAGCCGGGTATAACAACAATAAAATGTTTCGCTGAGCGCAGCTGGATACGACTGCAGAGGTCCAACCCTGAACTGTTGGGGAAAAATGGACACAATATTCGCGCTTGATATTTGACAGCTAATAGGTTTCTGACACCGAATAACTGTAGTCAAAGAACTTAGAATTGGTTATATGATTTGAATTTATATTCAATTTTTTGCTTTTGTGCAATACACTTTGCTGCTGCGAAATTGAACCCCCCAAAAAATGTTTTACCCCCCCCTTTTTTTTGTTTGACAAAAAGAAATAATATTTGAAAAAATTTTCTTTTTAATTTCTGAAATCTGAAATGAAAAAAAAAATTGCCCCTTCAATTTCTTTTTAACCCCCCCCCTTTTCAAAAAAAAATATTTCCCTCAACATATGGACATAATCTCAATTCAAATTTCCAATGGAGGTTGCAACCATAATTACCAATTTAAATACATCATATAAGTCTTAAAATAGAAAAAAAAATCCCCTCCCCAAATTTTTTGAACCCCCTTATGATTCATCACCCCTCAACTCAATCCCAGCCTTCCCTTTGTGGTATGGTACCTTGCAGTACAATTTCAGAGAGATCTATACACTTTAACACAATTTGTTATCTGGAAACTGTAAAAATGCTTGTTTTTTGGCCCCAAATTCCTAAACATTTAGGGCAATTACCCCCAAACTCAAACCCAGCTTTCCCTTTGTGATAGGGAACCTTGTAGTACAATTTCATAAAGATCCATACACTTACACACAAGTTATTGTCCTGAAACTAGAAAAATGCTTGTTTTTTGCCCCTTTTGTGGCCCCTTATTCCTAAAATTTTGAGTCAATTACCCCCAAAATCAATCCAAACATTCCCTTTGTGGTATGGAACCTTGTGGTACAATGTCAGAGAGATCCATACACTAACACACAAGTTATTGTCTGGAAATTACAAAAATGCATATTTTTGGCCCCTAATTCCTTAACTGCTGGTATCATAACCCCCAAAATCAATCCCAACCTTCCTTTTGTTGTATTGAACCTTATGGTAAAATTTCATAGAGAGCCATTCACTCAAACTAAAGTTATTGTGCGAAAACCAATGTATCTTCGGACGACGACGCCAACGTCATACCAATATATGACCGCAAAAATTTTTTGCAGTCGTATAAAAACTGCCAGCACTGGATACATTAACCAATATCTCAGGACCACCAAATTGAACAAAATTATAAAAGATTGCAAATAATTTGGAAGAGGGTTGAAAAAATATTAGTCTAATTGGAGCTTGGTAATGTAGCTATTTATAGCTACTTACTAAAAAGTGTGAATAGAAAAAGAAAATAAAGTGTCTTTATTTACACTTATATCCATTTATCTCTCATACAATGATTATTTTTGTTGTTGTGTTAATAATTGAACATCTTTATAAAACACACTGTTTATTTATTTCCCTCTTTAGAACAAAATCTGCTTCAAATTAATCAATATGTAGATCACAATTGTAACCTTCATCTTCACCACTTTTCCATCCTAACCTGAAATTATAATGTTATACATGTAGTGAAAAACAAAAGCATTTCAACCTAAAAATTTGAATTGAAATAATCAATGATTGTGTGTTCTTAAAAAGTGGCAGCCCTGTCAGTCTGGACCCCAAAAATCAAGAAGGTCAATGATGTTGTAGTCCTGATTGCAAACTAGTAAAAAGGTTGTGGTTGTTTTATTTTAAACTGTCTGGTATTTTATATTGGTATACATGTAGCTGCTCAGTGGCAGATCCAGAACTTTTTGTAAGGGGGGCCCGCTGACTGATCTAAGAAATTTTTTCCCACAAAAGGGGGGGGGGGGGTCAATCTTAATTACACCTACATGTACGAAAGTATGAAAAATCTGCAAATACATGACTGAATTTCACTGAGACCTTAAAATTTGTAGTCTGTGTTGTAAAAATGGTCAATAGCTGTAGGCTATAAAAAATATTTTGAGAACTTGGCAATGTAAATTATAGACAATAATATTTTAATATTTGTTTATGTACATGTGCACTTGTTTGTATTCTTAAATCTTTGAACTTCCAATTCATTTTTGTAAGTCAATTACAGGAAGAAGAAAGAATATTTTCCATGAAATATTACATGCAACTTTTCTCACAAGTAAAAATAACTATTTGAGTATAACTTTAATTTCTTACCTTCTTTCATTCATTTTTGTACATATAGTTGATGAAAAGTAATTTGTTACAACACTTCAACATGTACAACGTTTTAAAGAACACTATACTCTATAGTAACTGTTTCATAGTCTGCATGAAAAATTGCAAAAGTAGCTAGGATGTTGGATTCCATGTATTTCCATTGACTGAAATTATATGAAGACATAATATGAAATTCAATATGAACATAACTAGTACTGGATCATTCAAAGCAAAAATAAAATATTGTAGGCTAGCTAAAGGACACATATCTAGAGTGATATAATTTCATGAATGATGGATATTGTTTTGCAATGGTAAATCATTATATTCAAATACAGATATAAAAAAACCAACACTATATATTAACTAGTTTATAGTTATACCATAGTGAGACTTTTTTACTTTCAATTAGAAATGTTAATTCCACATATTTTACATGATGGTGTACAAGATATATGCTTACTCTTCTAGAGATCAAACTCATACAGTTTATCTAAATGGTTCTATCAAAGATATAGATATAAATATGACTATTATATTATGGATATAATATGGATATGGCTATTATATTATGGATATAATATGGATATGGCTATTATATTATAGAGCTACGGTTCCGCAGATAATTATAGTCATTATAACTATGATTCTATGTAGTGTTTCAAAAATTTGTTTGTCTTTACATCATTCATTTGTCTTTTTTGTCTTATTGTGTTGTAGATTTTGTTTGACTTAGGTTTTACATGTCCTTTTTGATGTCTTCTAGCTGTTTCTTTTTTCTACTTTATTGTTTTCAATATATTAATAAGTTAATAAAATTTACATGTATTTAAACAATATCACTGTTGAGTCTACTATTTAAATAAAATTTAAAGACAAACATACATGTACAGACCCTTGATACAAGGTGTATGTAGTTTATTATTTACATGTAAAATCATGTCATTTTTTTTTTATATAATGTAGTAATTAAACAGATATATTGAAATATTCATACCATACAATTCCTACACGTTTTCAATGATACATCATGTGTTGAAGTACACAAACAACTGGTTATGGTCGCTCATTTGAATAACAATGAAGAGGCATAACATGTGCGTCAAAATGCTTAATTTGCACCCGATCTGCAATGATGTTGTCATATAAACATTCGAAAACCTATTAAAGTTTTATCGGACCTTAAGTTTTAAGAAATATCTTATCCAAAAAGGAACAATTGTCAAAAATTCATAAAACCAAGACTTGGTTTTACCAGACATGTGTTTTCGCATCATTTTTAGAAACATTGCAGTTTTTCTCAAGAACCTAAGAAATTTCAATTATCAAAATATGATAACATCAAAATTTTCAACTCAGAGTACCATAAACACTAATCAAATATAAAATTGGGTTGCTCGATTTTCTAAATTCAGACTTTCAAATTGACCACTTACCTCTTTGACTATGACCGGTTTTTTCCAATATGGCGTCTATCCGGAAGTTAGGTAGGCCTGGGTAGACATGTCGTTGGGAAACAAAACTTTCTTTCACTGGCATTGTTTATAAAGATCCTATGTGCAAAAATGACAAAAATATCTATAGAGTAATGTCCCTGCTAAACTGAAGTATGCAGGTTTTAGCTCTGGAGTTCCCAGTGAAGACATTTTTTTCACGTTCAAACATTTGAAATACACAGTTACTAAATCAAACAACAGTTGAAAATCTGAAGCACATCTTGACATATACTCGTGTGTTTACTTATTCTGAACTGCTTAGACATGAAATGAAGTCATTAGACACATGGGAAAAGTCACACTTTTAAAACTACGATTTTTAGTCTATATCGCTGTTTAAATAGACAGAGTTGCCCTCCATACAACTTTGACACATAGTCCCACATTGCCATCTGAAAAAGTTAAAACAAAAAATAATTATGATACACTTCAATATAAACGAAATAACATACTTTTAAGGCATAGATTTTGTACGAAAAGACACAGTACTTATAGTTTACATACATAAAAATGACAGGAACTATATTTATAGACAACCGATTACGAGCGACCAAACAGGTCATTTTTGAAAATAAGATCATTTCTTCTGCTTTTCTATTTAGTTGTTTGATCTTCCCTTCTCCTTTTCTCATTTTCTTTACATGAAATTACACCTTAACTGAATGTTTGAAAATATAAATGTGCATCAAAAAGAAAATGTAAGGTAAACACCAATCAGACAGCAACCTAGCGACAAAAAAAACTAAAAGACATGTGCACGTTTCAAGGTAAAATGAGATGGGAGTTTCCCTCAATCACACAGCATCCCAGCGACAAAAGATATGTATGAATGAACCTTCATTTGGCTGATGCTGCCATTCGTGTTTTTTTTTTTTTCGATTATTTTAAAACCTCTTGGTATCTTCAATTGATATGATGGAAAACAAAACTATGTATCGAGCGAAAACTGTTTACAGTGAAAAGAAAAGGTGTCTCGTTAGTAAAATTACAGCCTCATTACTTATTTCAGATTTCGAACCCCGCACGTGGCAGGTGTTTTCGACTCAATTTTAATTGACTAGACTGTTAGTTTTCATGCCTAAGGTCAGGTGGTTCTCTGATGACACTACGGCTTTTTCTACTAATTAAACTGACCGCAATGAAATAGCCAAAAGTGATGAAAGTGGCGTTTAACACCAAATATCAATAAATCGATCATTGTTTATTTCAGACGTTTTCTACACAGATCATTGTTCTGTTAAACAAGAATCTATAATCTTGAATTTTAATTTGACTAAAGCAGTTTTTCAGCATCACATAACTGTCTATTTGAATTATGACTGTACTATTGGCCGCTGGACATGAACAGCAGCTTCATCAAATAAAAATGTGTTTAAAAACCTTGAAGAATGGATAGATTGAAATATTTATAAACTGTATTATAGCAAGTAAGTCGGTGAATTATTGTTAGAAAACACGTTAAACAATTCAGGGATTATACGGATAGGGCAATATATGTAGGGCCTACGATTAAAGGTCGGTGTGCCCATCACAATTTATGTGTGGCGACCTTCTGTTTATGTCTGTACCTAAAGTTTAACCTTTTATAAGTTAAGTAAGTTCGTCTTCTAACTTTACGTCCACATCTTTCAATATACAATATTTATTTTTAATAGAAAAAGGGTGTGTTTTATGTCCAAGGATTGCAAAATTTCTGGTAATGAATCGCTCAGTCATTACTTCAATGCATATTTCGGTAGCTAGGTAGACATGTCGTTGGGAAACAAAACTTTCTTTCACTGGCATTGTTTATAAAGATCCTATGTGCAAAAATGACAAAAATATCTATAGAGTAATGTCCCTGCTAAACTGAAGTATGCAGGTTTTAGCTCTGGAGTTCCCAGTGAAGACATTTTTTTCACGTTCAAACATTTGAAATACACAGTTACTAAATCAAACAACAGTTGAAAATCTGAAGCACATCTTGACATATACTCGTGTGTTTACTTATTCTGAACTGCTTAGACATGAAATGAAGTCATTAGACACATGGGAAAAGTCACACTTTTAAAACTACGATTTTTAGTCTATATCGCTGTTTAAATAGACAGAGTTGCCCTCCATACAACTTTGACACATAGTCCCACATTGCCATCTGAAAAAGTTAAAACAAAAAATAATTATGATACACTTCAATATAAACGAAATAACATACTTTTAAGGCATAGATTTTGTACGAAAAGACACAGTACTTATAGTTTACATACATAAAAATGACAGGAACTATATTTATAGACAACCGATTACGAGCGACCAAACAGGTCATTTTTGAAAATAAGATCATTTCTTCTGCTTTTCTATTTAGTTGTTTGATCTTCCCTTCTCCTTATCTCATTTTCTTTACATGAAATTACACCTTAACTGAATGTTTGAAAATATAAATGTGCATCAAAAAGAAAATGTAAGGTAAACACCAATCAGACAGCAACCTAGCGACAAAAAAAACTAAAAGACATGTGCACGTTTCAAGGTAAAATGAGATGGGAGTTTCCCTCAATCACACAGCATCCCAGCGACAAAAGATAAGTATGAATGAACCTTCATTTGGCTGATGCTGCCATTCGTGTTTTTTTTTTTTTTTCGATTATTTTAAAACCTCTTGGTATCTTCAATTGATATGATGGAAAACAAAACTATGTATCGAGCGAAAACTGTTTACAGTGAAAAGAAAAGGTGTCTCGTTAGTAAAATTACAGCCTCATTACTTATTTCAGATTTCGAACCCCGCACGTGGCAGGTGTTTTCGACTCAATTTTAATTGACTAGACTGTTAGTTTTCATGCCTAAGGTCAGGTGGTTCTCTGATGACACTACGGCTTTTTCTACTAATTAAACTGACCGCAATGAAATAGCCAAAAGTGATGAAAGTGGCGTTTAACACCAAATATCAATAAATCGATCATTGTTTATTTCAGACGTTTTCTACACAGATCATTGTTCTGTTAAACAAGAATCTATAATCTTGAATTTTAATTTGACTAAAGCAGTTTTTCAGCATCACATAACTGTCTATTTGAATTATGACTGTACTATTGGCCGCTGGACATGAACAGCAGCTTCATCAAATAAAAATGTGTTTAAAAACCTTGAAGAATGGATAGATTGAAATATTTATAAACTGTATTATAGCAAGTAAGTCGGTGAATTATTGTTAGAAAACACGTTAAACAATTCAGGGATTATACGGATAGGGCAATATATGTAGGGCCTACGATTAAAGGTCGGTGTGCCCATCACAATTTATGTGTGGCGACCTTCTGTTTATGTCTGTACCTAAAGTTTAACCTTTTATAAGTTAAGTAAGTTCGTCTTCTAACTTTACGTCCACATCTTTCAATATACAATATTTATTTTTAATAGAAAAAGGGTGTGTTTTATGTCCAAGGATTGCAAAATTTCTGGTAATGAATCGCTCAGTCATTACTTCAATGCATATTTCGGTAGCTAGGTAGACATGTCGTTGGGAAACAAAACTTTCTTTCACTGGCATTGTTTATAAAGATCCTATGTGCAAAAATGACAAAAATATCTATAGAGTAATGTCCCTGCTAAACTGAAGTATGCAGGTTTTAGCTCTGGAGTTCCCAGTGAAGACATTTTTTTCACGTTCAAACATTTGAAATACACAGTTACTAAATCAAACAACAGTTGAAAATCTGAAGCACATCTTGACATATACTCGTGTGTTTACTTATTCTGAACTGCTTAGACATGAAATGAAGTCATTAGACACATGGGAAAAGTCACACTTTTAAAACTACGATTTTTAGTCTATATCGCTGTTTAAATAGACAGAGTTGCCCTCCATACAACTTTGACACATAGTCCCACATTGCCATCTGAAAAAGTTAAAACAAAAAATAATTATGATACACTTCAATATAAACGAAATAACATACTTTTAAGGCATAGATTTTGTACGAAAAGACACAGTACTTATAGTTTACATACATAAAAATGACAGGAACTATATTTATAGACAACCGATTACGAGCGACCAAACAGGTCATTTTTGAAAATAAGATCATTTCTTCTGCTTTTCTATTTAGTTGTTTGATCTTCCCTTCTCCTTTTCTCATTTTCTTTACATGAAATTACACCTTAACTGAATGTTTGAAAATATAAATGTGCATCAAAAAGAAAATGTAAGGTAAACACCAATCAGACAGCAACCTAGCGACAAAAAAAACTAAAAGACATGTGCACGTTTCAAGGTAAAATGAGATGGGAGTTTCCCTCAATCACACAGCATCCCAGCGACAAAAGATAAGTATGAATGAACCTTCATTTGGCTGATGCTGCCATTCGTGTTTTTTTTTTTTTTCGATTATTTTAAAACCTCTTGGTATCTTCAATTGATATGATGGAAAACAAAACTATGTATCGAGCGAAAACTGTTTACAGTGAAAAGAAAAGGTGTCTCGTTAGTAAAATTACAGCCTCATTACTTATTTCAGATTTCGAACCCCGCACGTGGCAGGTGTTTTCGACTCAATTTTAATTGACTAGACTGTTAGTTTTCATGCCTAAGGTCAGGTGGTTCTCTGATGACACTACGGCTTTTTCTACTAATTAAACTGACCGCAATGAAATAGCCAAAAGTGATGAAAGTGGCGTTTAACACCAAATATCAATAAATCGATCATTGTTTATTTCAGACGTTTTCTACACAGATCATTGTTCTGTTAAACAAGAATCTATAATCTTGAATTTTAATTTGACTAAAGCAGTTTTTCAGCATCACATAACTGTCTATTTGAATTATGACTGTACTATTGGCCGCTGGACATGAACAGCAGCTTCATCAAATAAAAATGTGTTTAAAAACCTTGAAGAATGGATAGATTGAAATATTTATAAACTGTATTATAGCAAGTAAGTCGG